AGCGCAAAACCTGATCCCAGAATCCCCTGTTGATAGAGAGAGATGGAAATTTACATAGAGGCAAATATATCGTACTTACAGCTGGTAAAGCGAAAAATGAAATGCCAATTAATGAGCATATAGCAGCAATTAATTTTCCAAAATTAGATGATGGAACACGATCACCGTATCCAACCTATACATCGAATATCATCTATGCAAGAAATTACATTGATAATTTGATGCTTTGCTTACCGTGCATAAGGTTATCTAAAAGATAAAAAATCAGAGCAATATTGATTGCATTATCAAATTTAAAAAGAAAATAGCTTACAATTCCCCACCATAGTGCATCTGCATACGTCTCAAATTTATGACGATCACTATCAACTAAAGTTGTTGAATTTTGCATTGACACTGGTTTACTATCTTTTTTCAACAAGAAACATGATAAATGACGAGAAAATTAGTACTAAAAATCCAATATAAATTGTTGTTATTAATTCTTGCCGATGCGCATAAACTACGGATCCGAGCAGCTTCCAAGTGCCACCTCGACGACTAATAAAAATATTCTTTGATTAATTATTTTCTATGAGAAGTATTTCCTACTTACTCCATTCTTAACATGCGTAAAATCTGAAAAAACCTTAAACCTCTTAATGCGCTAGCCGCAAATACACCACTTCCACCACGACTGTTCAAACATAATGTAACGACAGTGGCGACAATTACTGTTAAATCTGAAAAAACAGAAACAGGTAAAATAATCATTTAAAAGCAGACGACAACTTACCTAGTACACAAAATGGTTTTTTCATAAAACGCATTCTGCCCATCAGAGTTTGATAACGAGACCGACAACCCGAACTCCATACTCGTAGACTCAATTCAGTCGTAAGCCAAACAACGACACATACTTCCTGAAAAATGATATGTTCTCAAGTGGCATACAAAGAATACTTACGGGAAATTCTTACGGTATGTAATAAAATAGTTGAAGCCTTGTCTTCATACTGTGGCATGGTTACAACAACACTCAAAAACAAACACAGAAAGACGGTGACGAAACTAAAATAAAAAATATCAAATGAATCCTAATAGATGTAAATAGCTCTCATCTGTTTTACATTTACACTAGTACTCTATGATATCTAATGAGAAAAAGTAAAATTTATAAAGATTCGATTTTTAAAGGTGAATGATGCTCCCGGCTTTCAAAAGTTTCTCTGTTTGACTTTGTTGATATAGAGTAAAATAGAGAATTGTAAGGCGCATCTATCTGTATGTTTTTGACGCTTGAGCACTGCATATTTCTTGAGAAACAACAAAGTTTGATCGATGGGTATCCACGTGATATATGTGTAATACAAATTTTTTCATTAAATGAACTTTTGCTTTTCTCAGCAACTTCTCTCCTCATTGAATGCACGAGATCATCGTGTATCTATATATGCATTTTGGATATGGTGTAAGCTTTTTGAAGAATGAGAAATGTTACAAAAAAGCTAAGAAAAATTCTGATTTTTAAAAAGATCATGGTCAGTAAAAATGTTATAGCTCTTATAGTAAAACTTATTCAAGACCATATCCTGTGAAAATCAATAATAAGTGCGTTTGTGCCTTTTCGTCATTTGAATGTAGTTTTCACGAAAACATGCCATGGCGAGCTCAGAGGCTCCTTTAACCCAGACACATTTGTTCTGCTCGGTGACGTTGTTTGCAAAAAGGGTTTGAGTTGAATGTGGAGATAAAGCTTTTTAGAATTTTAGTTTTTCAGATGCTGAGTTACAAGGAATCTTCATGGAATTTCTATATACATTACACCAGACTGGAAACTCTTTCTGTTATTCAAATCGTTTTTCAGATTTGTTTCGGCTATCATGATCGAGAAGAAAAATAGAAAACTAAGACAGATAGTAAATTTTTATACTCATTGTATACCAGAAAACATCCTTCAAGTATATCGTCACAACATAGTTAGCTTCTTCAATGAGATAAAGTTGAAATAATATATTTTGTAGCCTATAAAAAGCTCTAGAATATCGCTCATAACTTATATGAAATTGCTGGACAGGTGGCCTATACATAAGAGTAAAAATTGCTTAAAAGTAGGCAAGAAAGGATTGAGATAATGTATAGATAAGTTCACGCTTCAAACACTAGTACAATGCAGCACTTGGCGTAGTTTTATTTTGCTGACCAAGAATACATTATCAGTTTTTCTAAAAAATATTTGGGATGCTAGAAAATTCGATTTTCACGTTCAAGTAACTTAAACACGCACGTCACTATTTATAATGAAAAATTTTGAACTCCAAAAGCACAGAATATTTTTTAAATCGCACAGTCATGTAACAGACAATGTGAAGATGTTTTTCTGCAAAGTATGATCTTGTGATAAGTTTTACTATAAGAGCTATAACATTTTTACTGACCATGATCTTTTTAAAAATCAGAATTTTTCTTAGCTTTTTTAACATTTCTCATTCTTCAAAAGGCTTATACCATATCCAAAATGCATATATAGATGCACGATGATCTCGTGCATTCAATGAGGAGAGAAGTTGCTGAGAAAAGCAAAAGTTCATTTAATGAAAAAATTTGTATTACACATATATCACGTGGATACCCATCGATCAAACT